GCTGGGATTACAGGTGTGCGCCACCACACCTGGCTAATTTTTTTTTTTGAGATGGAGTCTCACTCTGTCACCCAGGCTGGAGTGCAGTGACACAATCTCGGCTCACTGCAGCCTCCGCCTCCTGGGTTCAGACAATTCTTCTGCCTCAGCCTCCCGAGTAGCTGGGACTATAGGCATGTGCCACCATGCCCATCTAATTTTTGTATTTTTAGTAGAGACAGGGTTTCACCATCTTGGCCAGGCTGATCTTGAACTCCTGACCTCGTGATCCACCCGCCTCAGCCTCCCAAAGTGCTGGGATTACAGCCATGAGCTCTTGAACATTCTTAACCCTATCTGTAATCATCCCTCATCTGCAAGATCAGTTTGTGTGTCTGTTTCCCACAGTGACAGGAGCTTGGGTTTGCTCCCCACTGCACCCCATATCCAATCCGGCCTGCCACGTACTTAGCACCTGGTAGGTACTTGGCTGTGCGAAGTAAGCAGAGCCACATTCCTCCCATCGTCATCCCTCGAGAGACTGGGTCCTTCACTTGCTAGGATCTGCCCTCTCCAAAGTGCGGAGCCTCAGACAAGTGACTTCATCTCTTGGAGGCTTCCTGGGTAGAATGAGGGCAGCAACACCTACCTTGCAAGGTGGCTCGCAGGTTTATTTTTAGAAACATCACTTTTGATTTTTTTCTTGTTACAATGATAAAAGGATGGTTTTATTTTAAAAAACCTAAGAAGATAAATCATTATGGCAGCAGTGAGGAGGACAAACTGAGGAGGGCGTAAATTAAATTAGACAGGGAACAGGGAGTTCAATGACATGGCCCCACAGTGTCCAGCCGGGATGGGGAGCCCTCAGCCAGGGCCAGGTGATATGGGTAAAGAAAATGGGTCTCACCATGCTGCCCTGAGCAAGTCAGGTCAGGTATTGTTACCCCCAGGTGGCAGAGGCCCAGATAGGTGCAGTGAATTGACAGCTGTCACTCTGTCACGTCAGCTGAGCTGGCTCCTGGGCACTGTGGCCATGTGTCTGCCTCTCACATGGCTGTTCAGCTGCTGAGCTTTCTGAATGGTTTATGTCTTCAGAGTGACAGCGTATACTCAGGGGAATGTGTGTGTGTATGTGTGTGTGTGTGTGTGTGTGTGTGTGTGTGTGCGTGCGCGCACACACACGCATGAGAGAAAGAGGGAAGAGAAAGAAGAGAGGAGAGGAGAGGAGAGATCCACACGAGATATTCATGACCTTTCGTTGATGACCCGTCCTCTGTCTATTTCAGTATACACCTGTGCCCCTGTAGTGGAAGGGGCAGAAACATTCCCAGGAAGGTGTGTCCCCGATGGTGCCTGATCGTGAGGGGCCATCAAGAAAGCTACTACGTGTTCCCTTAGTCAGTTGCACCTTGTTTGCCAAGCTGGGCAGTGGAGACAGACTCTCCGTGCAGGGAGGGGTGGCAGGACCTCTCTCGGCCCAGGTCTGCCTGGCAAGTGGCCCCTCCCTGGGGATGCTCCCCACTGCTGCTGCCGCCACCACACTTTTCCCTTCCTTGCTCTGACTCATAGCTGAACATTTAACCTTAATTTAGCTCCCCAGGACACAGCTGGAGAAACGTTCTGCCATGAACACCTGCCGATTGGCCATTGCTACCATCAGCCAACCTGACACAGGGAGGGGGATTTAGAAAGTGGGACTTCTGCCGAAGGGAACAAGGGACTTCTGTTTCATTTGTGCCTTCTCAAAAGGAAGCAGCAAGGTCAGGCAAGAAAGAAACAGATGTCTTTTGCTCCCCTCGGCGTAAAGCCCACTTCTGAGTCCCTTCCCTGGTTGGGTTGGCTGACAGTTGCTTCCATTTGGGAATACCCCTTCCCCAATCCATGTGGTTCCGGAGGACTATCAATCAAAAGGTCTGCCTGGTTCACAGAAGTGCACGTGACCCAAACGGGGCAGTCTAGAGCTGTCACCTCATGGAAGGTTTTTCTAAGTCCTCTGGGATCCCAGAAGGAAGCAGACCCAGGGTAACTTCAGCAGCTACCAGAGCTGGCAGCTATTAGAGTTGCAGGCCTCAGCCCCATCTCACACACCATTCCAAAGACCACTCTCTCTAGTCCCCGTCCAATCTCCCCATGACCAAGGCCACCTTTCCCCACCACCCAGAAACTTCAGACAGCAAGACCCCAAGAGAAAGGTATCAACAGGACAGGACTCTCAGGCGCAAGAGGAGAAACCAAGCTCAAACTAGTTTTACATCAAAAGGGTAACTTGCAGCTCAAGTGTGGGAAAATTCATGAAGAGTACCTGCTTCAGGCATAGCTAGATCCAGGAAGTCTAGCAATGCCCCCAGGACCCCCTCTCTTGTCCTTTCCCTCTGAACTGGTTTCTTTCTCAGACAGGCTCTCTGCACATGGCATCAAAGATGCCACCAAACCACTCCAGGCTTCATGGTGTTTACCAAGGTGAAGTAATTCAGAGGGAAAGAGACTTTCTTCCTTGCAACATCCATATCAATCCCCTTAAGGGATTTTTTTTTTAATTTTAATAAGTGGGATCTTGCTGTGTTGCCCAGGCTGGACTCAAACTCCTGGGCTTAAGTGATCCACTTACCTCAGCCTCTTGAGCTGCTGAGATTACAAGTGTAAGCCACCATACCTGGCTTCCTTAAGGAAATTTTAATTGGACCCACTTGGGTAAAGTTCCCATTGGCCAACCAATCACTGGAGGCAAATTCCCACTGGACGGAGTAAGAGTAGGAGCCCACTGGACCACACGCATCCAGGGAAGGGCGTTTCCAGAAGGAAGCAATGAAGCACAGAGAGAAAGCAACAGACATTCACCCTCCAGCTCAGAGACCACCTTCTAAGTCCCATTTCCTGTAAGAGGAGGGCAGAGATGTCCACTCATTTCCAGGGGAACATCTCCCTCCACAGTCACCATCAGTTCCCAACTGAACCTTTAGGCTCTTTTTCCCAGGAAGGAGGCCCCTCAAATGACCTGGCTGCCTGCAGAGCTGGGCGGGGCAGGCCAGGGCCTGGGTTTCTCACAGTTTCTCTCCTTCCCCCCCAGGGCTTCTGTTCCTGGTTCTTCAACAGCATAACCATGAAGTAAGTGCCCGGGCTCTACCAGCTTATGACCTTGTTGCTTTGGGGGTGGGGGTGGGGGAGTGGAAGCGCCTGGAAAAATAAGCAGCCCCCAACCTGGGACGACAGGGCCTGAGCTCCATACCCTCCCACCACATCGGCCCAGCACCGGTGAATGATGCTTTCCTGGGTTACAGTTGGTGAAGTGGGAGCTGGGCCTAGCCCACTGCCCCTGTTATCTCTGCCTCAGCCCTCTATTAAAAGGACCACTGAGTCCTCTATTAAAAGGATCACTTTTAGTAGCTGAATCATTACTTGCATGCTTATAGACATGCTTCTGTGAACTCCACACCAGGAAAAAGAAATCCTTCTTTGTGTTATCCGCTTGATTCCTGTGACCATCATTCAGTATATCATGTGTTCGCCCTTCTGCCCAAGCAAACACATTGGGCAGAAGAGCAGGCTTCTCTCGGCCTCAGTGCCCAGAGAGCAGAGGGGCAGCCCTTGCCCACCTCACCTTCTGGGTTTTTTGAATGCCAGACCCCACTTTGCAAACAAGCAGACCCCAAGTCACCTGTTTTCTCCTGCAAGCCGACCTCAGGTCACCTGTTTTCTCCTGATTCCCCAACCAGAAGCATCTGTTCTTCTACCAGCCAGACACTTGAGCAGAGCAGACACTTTCCAGAACTCTATGTTCCCACTGGGTAGGGTACACACATGCACACTTTTACATACATGCACACACATGCACATGTGCACATAGCACTACCTCCACCTCAGACTCCACACACTTACGGGCTCTCCCTGAATATGCTCCATCTGTTCTGCTTGCCCATCCTTTAAATCCTTCCTCCCCACCCCTGCCCAAAGACTCCTATCACAGAGGCCCCTCTGTTAGGCACCCAGCATCTGGGAAAGCAGGAAGGCAGGGCATTGCACCATGCATACAGCACACCTTGACAGCAGTGTCATAGAAGATGGCTTAAAGCATTTACTGAGCAGGGATAAGTCAATCAGAGTCCCCATACACAAACCCATGCAGTCTGTCGGAGAAATGAAGGTGAACAAGACTCCCTTCGTACCATGCAGAGTGGGAGGGTTATAATTGCTATGCAAAAAGCATTTGGGGAAGGGAGAAATGAATTCCAACTGGAAAAGTCTAGTTTTGCGCTGGGCATAGGAGGACAGGAAGAGTTCCAGCAGGCACGATGTGGGACGTGGAGGGCACATCAGAAGTGAAGGACTGTGTGAGCCAGTTTGTTGCAGAGGTGAGTAGGGTGTGCACAGACATGTTAAATCTGGTGTGGCTAGAAGCAAGGTTTTGTAGTAAGCGTGGCAGGGGAGGGTAAAAAATTGGGCTAGAGAAGGATCAGCTGGAATTTTTTTTTCTTTTTTTTTTTTTTTTTTTTGGAGACGGAGTTTGGTTTTGTACCCAGGCTGGAGTGCAGTGGCATGATTTCAGCTCACTGCAACCTCCACCTCCAGGGTTCAAGTGATTCTCCTGCCTCAGCCTCCCTAGTAGCTAGGATTATAGGCGCATGCCACCACACCCAGCTAATTTTTGTATTTTTAGTAGAGATGGGGTTTCCCCATGTTGGCCAGGCTGGCCTTGAACTCCTGACCTGAGGTGATCCACCTGCCTCAGTCTCTCAAAATGCTGGGATTACAGGCATGAGCCACCCCACCCAGCCTCAGCTGGGATCTTGACTGGCATACTGAGAATCTTGGGCTCTCAACTAGAGACAGTAGGGAGCCAATTAGTGTTTTCAAGCAGGAAACTTGGAATGATATATGTGTGTAGACAGAAGTATGGAGGGTGAATGGCATTAGAGAAAGTCCAAAGTCAAGGTGAGCAGTTAAGGAGGCTCTTCCAGTGGTTAAGGAGGGTGATGCTGGTGACCTGATCTTGGGCAGTGACCTGGAAAGCAATGGTAGGGGAAGATGGGAGGGAGATCATGAGGCTACAGTCAGCAGGTTGTGGCCTGTTTAAGAAAGAGGGGAAAATTGAGGTCTGGTTTCTGGGGAGGGGAGTAATGCCATTAGGTGGGGGAGGAAACACAAAATGATGAGATGTAGTCAGGGCAAGTATGCAAGCTGAAAAGGAGCTGTTGGAAAAACAGGATTGAAGCCTAGGAGAAAGGTCAGAGCTAGAGATTTCAACTGGGGAGATGGGGCATGGAGGCTGTAGCTGAAGTCATGGGAGCAGATGGGTCACCCAAGGAGGCAAGACCAGAAGCGGCCCAAGGGAAAGCCTGATTGAGGCAGGAGGAAGAGGCATCCTCTGGGACTGGAATCACTGAAGCCAGGCCAGGATGAGGCTCCCGCCTAGGGAGGGGCTGCCCAGCAACCTTAGTGCTGCAGAGGTGGAGTGGAAGAGGGGCCGAGGAGAGGACATTGACTTTGGTGAGTTGGGTCTCTTTGGAGAGCAGGCCTGGGTAGGATGTCCAAGACACAGAAGCAGAGAAGGACGGTCACCTTTTTCCAGAGGTGCATGCAAGGAGGGAAGTGAAGCTGTTGGAAGGAACTGGAGGGGAGCCAGGTTGGGGAACAGATCAGAGAGTGGATGCTTGGGGAGTTGTTTTATTACAAAGTAGCCAACAAGCACTTGAGCCTGGTTGTAGTTTATGGGGAAGAGGTGTGGGTGGATGCAGAGAGAAAAGGATGCTGAAGATGAGAGGAAGTCTTCAGAAAGAGGTGAGAGGAGGGGATGCAATGAGAGCAGAGACAGGGAATTAAAAAGTGGGAAGAACGGCGATTGGCTGGAAGGTCAGGGCGGGACGCTTACAAGAAAGCTGGGGAAAGGAAACAGGCGTAGTGGTGGAGGCAGGAATTCCTGACCCAGGAAGGGAATTCTAGTGCTCTCAGTGCCATCCAGTCCTGTTCAGCCTCTGCCCTCTCCACCTGATTGGAGGCTCCTGGACCTCACCACCCCCTTGGGCAGAGCAAGAGGACACTTCCCTGCTCGCCAGAAGTTCTCATCTATCCCTTCTGGCATTTCATTCTCAAGTCCAGGGAGGGAAACATTCAGCTGCTCAAAGTTAGAAAATCAAGAGCTCTAAATAATTCCTCAAGTGGGAACACTGAAAACCTTGAAGGTGTGCTTTTTGTGGTATTGTTTAAAAATAAATGTTTCTCTTTTTTTGAGCTGGAGTCTCACTCTGTCTCCTGGGCTGGAGAGCAGTGGCATGATCTTGCTCACTGCAACCTCCACCTCCTGGGTTCAAGCAATTCTCCTCCCACAGCCTCCCAAGTAGCTGGGATTAAAGGTGTGCATCACCAAGCCTGGATAATTTTTTGTATTTTTAGTAGAGACAGGGTTTCACCAAATTGGCCAGACCGGTCTTGAACTCCTGAACTCAAGTGATTCTCCTCACAAAAATATAGCTGGGCATAGTGGCACACACCTGTAATCCCAGCTACCTGGGAGGCTGAGGCAGGAGAATTACTTGAATCCCGGAGACAGAGGCTGCAGTGAGCCTAGATTGTGCCACTGCACTCCAGCCTGGGCGATAGAGTGAGACTCTGTCTCAAAACAAACAAACAAACATTAACTACAAATGCTTTTTTTTTTTTTTTTTTTTTTTTTGAGACAGGGTCTCACTCTGTTCCCCAGGTCACCAGGCTGGAGTTCAGTGGCATGCACTTGGCTCACTGCAGCCTCAACCTTGGAGGCTCAAGCGATCCTCCTACCTCAGCCTCCAGAATAGCTGGGACTACAGGCACACGCTACCACACCCAACTCATTTAGATAGATAGAAAGATAGATAGATAGATAGATAGATAGATAGATAGATAGATAGACAGACAGACAGATAGATAGATAGATAGATAGATAGATAGATAGATAGATAGATAGATAGATAGTAGTGATGGGGTTTCACCATATTGCCCAGGCTGGTCTCAAATGGCTGGGCTTAAGTGATCCACCTGCCTCCGCCTCCCAAAGTATTGGGATTACAGGCGCGAGCCACCATGCCCAACCCCAAATGCTTTTTAGTCATTGTCTTACGTTCAATGAGATTGTAGATGAATTATTTACTTCTCTTTCATATTTTCCAAAGTTTCTATGAGCATGTGTTGCTTTTAAATTGTTTAAATTGAAGTATAACACACACACGGAAAAGCGCACACCAAAAACTGTACAGCTCAGTCATCACAAAGCTAAGCCTCTGCCGCCACCACCCTGATCCACAAGTAGAACATTGCCAACACCCGACAGCTCTCTTCCTTTCCCCCAATCTTCATCCCCATTCTCCCAAAACGTAGCAGCATTCTGACTCCTATCTCTGTATCTCAGTATTGCCTATAGCTGAACTTCATATGTGAAATCACACAGTGTGTGTTGTTTGTGCCTCGTGGCTTTTGCTAAGCATTGTGTTTGTGAAGTTCAGCTATGGGTCACATTTATTGCAGTATAGTGGGGTCCCCAACCTCCAGGCCACAGACCAATACCTGTCAGAAACCTGGCCACACAGCAGGAGGTGAGCGAGCATTACACCTGTCAAGTCAGCCGTGGCATGAGATTCACAAACCCTCTTGTGAACTGCACATATAAGGGGTCTAGGTTGTGTGTTCCTTATGAGACCCTAACCAGTGCCTGATGATCTGAGGTAGAACAGTTTCATCCCAAAATTATTCCCCCACCACCACCCTGCACCCCAGTCCATGGGAAAAATTGTCTTCCACGAAACTGGTCTCTGGTGCCAAAAAGGTCGGGGACCACTGCTGTCTAGTATTTCATGATTTATATATCACAATTCTTGTGTCCATTTCACCTTGATACACATGTAAGTTGTTTCCAGTTTGAGGATGTTACAAGTAATGCATCTGTGAAATTTTTGTACATGTCTCTGTGTACATATTCATGCATTTCTTTTGGGTATAAACCTAGGAGTGGAATCGCTAGGTCACAGAATGTGCATGTATTCCATTTCAGTAGATAATACCAATTGTCCTCTAGTGTAACTGGGCCAGTGTATACACCCGTGAGAGCAGGAGAGCTCCCAGTGCCCCACATTCTTGCCAACACTTAGGGCTTTTCAGCTTTCCAATTTTGGCAAATCTGGCAGTGTGGAGTGATGTTTCAGGTGTTCCTTTTTCCCTGAATAGGGTGCTTCTCAATATCACGAGTGCTTTGTCTGATGCCTGCACCATCGAAAGCACTCGGAATGTTTGAAGAAGTAAAAAAAGGATGAATGAATGCTCTATATCAAGAGTGCCTCTGGATTCCTGAGTGTATACCTGTAACAGAGCCTCTATCTTTGATATGTCTGTGAAATTCAGTTAAAATATACTTCAGGAATAACAGAGGCTTTGAGATAGAGGGCAATATTTCCAAACAAAATAAAAACTTGGGGAGGGGAGTGATCATATTCTGCCCTTCCCTCTACCTCCCCCCAACAAGTGGCAGCCATGCTGGTTCCCAAGGCATGTCCTTGTGTGTGTCTCTTCCAGGGATGAGGATCTGATTAACAAGTGTGGGGACGACGCGCGCATCTACCTCGCGTTCCAGTACCACCTCATCATCTTTGTGCTCATCATCTGCATCCCCTCCCTGGGCATCATCTTGCCCATCAACTATACTGGATCTGTTCTGGGTAGGCAGAGCTCAGCAGGCCCCGGGGCAGCAGCTGGACCCGAGGGGCAGCCAGGCAATCCAGATGGGGCTGGGGTTGGGGGTCTAGACATCTATTTTAATCCTGCCTCTGGGAGTTTGTGGTTGTGTGAACTTGGACAAGCCACGCTTTGCTTCTCTCGTGGGGACTGGAGACGATCCCTCCTTCGTTACAGGTTTGACCCAGGGCCTGGCACACAGCAGCTCATAGTGTTAATTCGATTTGGAACTGAGTGTTCATTCATGGCCCCACTCTGGCTGGTTGTTCCTAGAGACCCTTTTATGACATGTGACCCACTACAAAGATCCCTGAACCCACTATGCCAGACATAACACCATACGTGCAGGATTTGTCTTGCAGGGCATCTACTCCCACTCATTGGAACAGGGTAAGCCCTTTGGACATAACAGCATTGTGGATGAGACTTTGGCTTCCAAAACAGAAAAATCATGGCTCCACAGTGTTTGCCCACATCTGCTTCCCAGAAAATGCCTTTGCCTAGCTAACAGATTATTTTATTTTATTTTGTTTTGTTTGAGACAGCATTTCACTATTGTCACCCAGGCTGGAGTGCAATGGCAGGATCTCGGCTCACTGCAACTCCCGCCTCCTGGGTTCAAGCGATTCTCCTGCTTCAGCCTCCCAAGTAGCTGGGATTACAGGCGCCCACCCCCACACCTGGCTAATTTTTGTATTTTTAGTAGAGAAAGGGTTTCATCATGTTGGCCAGGCTGGTCTCAAATTCCTGACCTCCGGTGATCTGCCCACCTTGGCCTCCGAAAGTTCTGGGATTACAGGCATGAGCCACCGCACCCAGCCGCTAACATGTATTTAATCTTGTATATGGCAATCAGTTTCCTGAACTTCAGTTTCCTCAACTGTCTTAGGGATCGGGAGATAACATGCCACATACCTACACAGTGCTTGATATACATAGTAGGTGCTCATTGAAGAGCCACTCATATTTCACTTAGAATCATGAAGCTGAATGGAGCTGTATGAAGGCTGTAAATGGAATGGTGCCGAATAGCACCTTAAATGCCCCAGCGGCAACCAGCTTTGCCTTGATTCCTCAGGTTTCTACCTGTTTCTCCTTGTCTGGAGCTAGATCTTAATTAATTCAGGTTAGCACACTGAGTGTCCATGCCACCAAATTCCACTACCAGAGTAACGTCTGAGTCCTATCTTTCCAGAGTCTCATCCTACCAGCTGGTATGTTGGCAATGATAATATCATGTAGGATTTTTAGACACATTTTACAAAACCTGGGGGTGTCTGAACTGTCAAACTAATACTCATAGCCAGAAGGATTTCCTGTGAATGAGGCAGTGTTGCCTTTTCTGGACATTGCCAGTGGTAATAGTGTTGCTAATTTCATCATTCTGCTCATGGCTGAATGGCTGGTGCCTTCAACAAGGATTCACTGGGTGTCCATTATGCGCCATTCGTGCCCTGGAGATACCACACAAAGAAGTGTTGGCCAGACGCAGTGGCTCACACCTGTAATCCCAACACTTTGGGAGGCCGAGGCGGGTGGATCATGAGGTCAGGAGATCGAGACCATCCTGGCCAACATGGTGAAACCCCATTTCTACCAAAAATACAAAAATTAGCGTGGTGGCACATGCCCGTAGTCCCAGCTACTCAGGAGGCTGAGGCAGGACAATCGTTTGAACCTAGGAGGCAGAGGCTACAGTGAGCCGAGATTGCAACATTGCACTCCAGCCTGTGTGACAGAGTGAGACTGTCTAAAAAAAAAAAAAAAGAAAAAAAAAGTGTTCTCACTTTTCTCCCGAGATTCCCCAATCAGCCATGCCAGGGAATAGAGGCCTCTGATGTTTTTGTTAAAAGTTGGGGACAAGGCCGGGCGCGGTGGCTCAAGCCTGTAATCCCAGCACTTTGGGAGGCCGAGGCGGGTGGATCACGAGGTCAAGAGATGGAGACCATCCTGGTCAACATGGTGAAACCCCGCCTCTACTAAAACTACAAAAAATCAGCTGGGCATGGTGGCACGTGCCTGTAATCCCAGCTACTCAGGAGGCTGAGGCAGGAGAATTGCCTGAACCCAGGAGGCGGAGGTTGCAGTGAGCCGAGATCGCGCCATTGCACTCCAGCCTGGGTAACAAGAGTGAAACTCCGTCTCAAAAAAAAAAAAAAAAAAGTTGGGGACATGCTCTGGGGAACCAGAAGGAAGAAGAGGACAAAGGCAAGCGTCTCTAGACCCCAGGCATTCATCCAGGGACCTTGAATCTGGCACGCCACAGCAACGGAGGAGCCAGGCTCAAGGTCAGCAGCTTCTTTCTCTTCCAGACTGGAGCAGTCACTTTGCTCGGACCACCATTGTCAATGTCTCCACAGAGTAGGTACCTGATCTTAACCTCCCATTCTGTTGGCTGGGGGTGTCGATGGGGAGAGGAGGTCTAACATGTCAGTTTGCAACCTGGGCACCGTTTTGCTGATAAGAAAGGTCTGGTTTCCCTGGGAACTGGGTCCGGAGTGAGATGCCAGAAGCTGCATCCTCTTGGTGGGGCAGGACTCCTGGTGCCCTGTGTCCTCCTCTGTCATGAGTAGAGCTGCCCAAACTGGCCACTCATGAAGACCTGGAGAAATGGTCCTATTTGCTTAGTGTGCCCAGATCCCAAGAGGCAGAAACCATGTCCTGAAAGAGACTGAAGATTGTTTTTCTGCCACCAATACATTCCGGTCAGCCATCAAATACCTGAGTGAATCATGGGCCTGACCGTCTGCCTTAGAGTCTCACAGCCAACTCACACCCACCTCTGCCACTAACTGGCATGGGTCTGAAGCAGTGTACCCCCAACATGAGCTTTAGCCTGATCCATGTCCACTGTTGGGGAAATGCCGTTGGACGTGCTCTCTAAGCTCCTTCCCCTCACAGGCCGAGAACCTGTGGGTTTCAACATCAGCCAACCCAACTAGTGGCCATATTAATTTGCCCTGAGCCAAACGTGGCCCCACTGGTCCATGCCACGGCCCCCTAGGTGTCTAGGCTGGGCTTGGCTGATTCCTGACAAAGCTGCAGAAGTAGTTGCAGCAAGTGTGAGCGGGGTTCACACACCCCTGCCTCACCTCACCTCCCTGCCCCGCCCCATCCCTCTGCCCCTGCACCTCTGCAATACACCTCGGAGCAGACTGGCTTAACCCAAACTCTGAAATGAGCAGAAAGGGGCTATGGCATCCCCTCACCTCTCCTTTTACCACATCCTCCCCTGGGGTTGCCAACCAGAGCAGGGATATCGGCTCCTTCCTGAGGCCCGTTGCTGGCCGGAGGTACCTACATCTTCCCAACAAAAAGCAAATTCTAGTAGAGCAGCAAAAAGCCATCAGTCTCCACGAATCCATTCTGGCAGAGAGCTGGAGCATTCTGTACAAACCACGTAGCCTTGCCCCTCTGTGGAAATGGAGGGTAGAGGCATCTAGCAGATGGCAATGGCGTGTAAGGTGCCAGGCATTGGGGATATTTTGAAACAAGGTGGCCTTTCTCTCCTCTAACCACACAGAGTAAGGTGGGCCCTATTTCTGAGCAGCAATCCTAGCCAGATGCTTTGAGATGGCATCATGTGAGTTGAAAGCAGGGATGGCAAACGTGGCCCAGGAGCCACCACTCCCTTACCCCAGGGGAGGTGCTACAGACCGTCTGGCCATCCTCTCCCGAGGCCTGCAGGTAATCCCGGCCTTTCCTCACTTGGTCTGCTGCACAGCACAGGGGCCTGAGCCGCAGCAGCTGGCAGGATGGTATTAGCAGTGAAGAATCTAAGTACTTCAGCAGCTCGGGGCTCACCTCCCAGAGCACCGCTGCTACAGTGACCTTGGTCTCAGTCATAGCCTCCTTGCTGAGCCACCCACTCTCACCCTCATTTCCCTATGAGTGGAGTGAAGATAACCACATGCATACCTACGTGCGTGGTGGAGTCTAGTAAGAAAATGCACACCATGTACTCGGTCCCACCTGGGTCTGGCCCAGAGTAAGCACTCAATAGACATCCCCACCATGAGCTAGAACCAGACCCTTCTCACCACCGATGCCCCCTTCCGAGGCACCTGAGTGTCTGGCCTCCAGGAAGGTGTTCCTGGAAAGACTTCATGTGGGCTGGGAGAGGGGGTTCCAGGGAGATTGTGATCGGTGATAGGGGGTGTCTGAGAAGACTGCAGTGGATGGGGAGACATTTGAGGAGACTGTGATGGGTGAGAAGGGAGGGTCCAGGGAGTGATGGGTGGGAGGGAGACCTGGGAGACTGTGATGGGTTGGGGGTGTCCCAGGAGACTGCGATTGGTGGGGGCAGGTCAAAGGAGGCTATGACTGAGACCAGTCGGGGGTCCAGGAAGACTGCAATGGGTTGGGGGGGGGTGGTCCAAGGAGACTGTGATGGTTGGGAGGGAGCAGGGAGCCCAAGGAGGCTGTGTGGGTGGAGGAGGTGACAGGGAGACTGCGGTGAGTGGGGGTGTCCAGGGACACTGCCATTGATGCAGGGGGATACAGGGAGACTGGGATGGGCTGTGGGGGTCTGTGACTGTGACCAGCTGAGGGTCCCGGGAGACTGTGATGGGTGGAGGTGTAGGGAGACTGATTGATTGAGGTGACCCCAGGAGACTGTGATGGGTGGGGGTATCTGGGGAGACTCTGATGGGTTGTGGGGGTCTGAGGAGACTGTGATGGGTTGGGGGAGCCCAGGAGACTAAAGGTAGGAGGCGGCCCAGGGGTCTGTATGCAATGGGCTCTGGGAACTCGCAGGCTAGCCTCACTGCTGCTGCCTCCCTGCCTGTAGGAGCAAGCTCCTGTGGCTGCACAGCCTGCTGTCCTTCTTCTACTTCATCACCAACTTCATGTTCATGACTCATCACTGCCTGGGGTTTTCGCCCAGGAATAGCCAAAAGGTAAGTAGCCCACAGAGCTGCTCCCCACTGGGAGATGGGGCCCCTCCCCACTGGGCTGACTCCTTCCAGCCCGCAGAGAAGCCCTCAGAGGGTCCAGGGAGACTGTAACAGGTGGGAGGTGCGGTTTCACCTGAACAGGGGCCAAGCTTCCTCCCTTCAGCCCTGGTAACAATCATCTAGCCCCCACCTCTCACCCTCCTCCGCCCTCTCGCCCTCCTCCGCCGTCCTCCGTCCTCTCGCCCTCCTCCGCCCTCCTCCGTCCTCTCGCCCTCCTCCGCCCTCCTCCGCCCTCTCGCCCTCCTCCGCCCTCCTCCGCCCTCTCGCCCTCCTCTGCCCTCTCACCCTCCTCCACCTTCTCACCCCCAATGAAATTTTCAGACTGGTTGGTAAGTAGCTGCTGCCCAGGTACCTCCTATCCCTGGCCTTCTGCTGTCCCACCCGGCCCCAGGGACTCTTGGACTTCCCATCCTCTGCAGACTAAAGGATTAACAAGGCCCAGTGCGCCAGTGGGGGCCTCCGTGCTAAGTGGTCAGGGCCCTGCTGAACTGCTGCTACCTAGTGTACCTGGCTCTGCCCACTCCTGCTAGGCCCATGCCTCGCCCTTCTCCAATCTCTCTGAGGTCAGAGGCCCCCTATGTATCCCCACTGTCTCAGTTTGGGTGGGGATGTCCAAGCAGACCCTAACACTTGGATTGTGTAGCACTTATTTATGGGAGGTGATCCCAGGAAAGGCCAGTAAGGGAGGGGGATGCAAAGACAACCAATAAAGGAGTGTTGACGGATGACTTACCACTGTGGGCAACTGGAGCTTCATGACCCAGGAACTCCGGGGGCTGGTGTAGAACGCATGGCCCAGAATCTTCCTGGAGGTGAGCAATCAGAGATATTTTTCCACCAACTCCCTGTCCACCATTCATGCAGGGCTGCACTTGGAGGCTTTAGCTCCTCTGCTTGCACAAAAGCTGAACATGCCCCCAAGGCCAGGAAAGAGCAGTCACAGTGTTTGAAGTACGCAGCAGGTTTTGGTGTGCAGAGGTGACCACTGAGGGGCCAACCCAACTAGCAGCCTGCTGTGAGCACAAGGCCTGCTCCCAAGAAACTGGGCCACCAGAAGACTGCGATACCTGGAATTCCCACGCAAGCACAGTCTTCTCTCTCGTTTGCTTCTTCCCACGCAGGTCACAAGGACACTAATGATCACCTATGTGCCCACGGACGTTGAAGACCCAGAAATCATCATTAAGCATTTTCAGTAAGTGGGTCGGGTGGGCTGAGGCATGGATTGCTTCCTCCTCGTAACCCCATCTGGGTCCTCAAGTGGGTACTGAGTTGGTGCAGGATGGTGGGACTGGGACACTCTGGGGGTGGCTCTTTCTAGACTCAGCTCAGAATCAGCTTTTCAGAATGGGGAGGGCTGCTGGTGCCAGAGCAGGGTTTCTGAAGTCAGGGACTTCCTGTGTGGCATGGGTGTGATATGAGCAATGAGAGTTTTCCTTACCTCTGCTGCTCCAACTACTGAGCTCAGGGAACCTTGGATCACGGCTATTTAGAACACATCATCTGGAGACATCCTGTATGACCCCAAGTTCCTAGCCCCAAGGACATCGTTCATGGGCTAATTATCTCTTTGTGAACAGCTCTCTCCTCCTGGGTTCCCCAGTGGGCAGGGCTCCGCCATTTGGCCCTGTTCTGAGTTGCGTAGGAAGGATTTGGCGGCTCTCAGATCACCAGGGTTCAAACCCTGAGGTTCAGCTTTAGGAGCAGAGATGGAGTCTCCCATCCAGGGACACCAGGCAGCTGAGCCACCCAGCCCCGAGGGCTGACATGCTGGACAGGGGGTGGGGGCAGCACATTCCCCACCTCACGGGCTGACTCAGCACTCATGTCTGTGGCTACAGCGAGGCCTATCCAGGCAGTGTCGTGACCAGAGTCCACTTCTGCTATGACGTCAGGAACCTGATTGACTTGGACGATCAGAGGTGAGACCTCATTGGGGCCTTTCAGGGTCCGGGGTGGGGTAAAAGAGGAGGATGGGACTCTGCTGGCCCCTGACCTACAGATCCTTCTCCCATTGCCCACGCTGGCAGGCGCCATGCCATGCGGGGCCGGCTTTTCTATACAGCCAAGGCCAAGAAGACTGGGAAGGTGATGATCAGGATCCACCCCTGCGCCCACCTGTGCTTCTGCAGGTGCTGGACCTGCTTCAAGGAGGTAACTAGCATGAGCATGAGGAGCACAGCAAGGGAGGGGTGGGGTCCTGGGGCTCTAGGCTCTGTGCCTTCACCCACAATGTTGGGCCCCAGGCCCCACTCAGGTCTGCTCCAGTGCTCACCACCCAGCCCCTCCCTCCCCATCCACCATGTTCTCCCTCCCTGTTGAGATGGGAGCCTTTCTGAAGGCCACCTTCAGAACAATCCAGGGAAGCTTGCTGCTGTCTCCTTTCTGGTCTTGGATGGAAGAAAGAAAAAGACCAGAGAAAATACAGCAGGCTACCGGAGGCTGCCAGGCCTCAGACTTCCAAAGAGATAGGACAGAAACATTTGAAGGCAGCAACCTGTCTTATCACCCGACCACTGTGGCGCAAAGAGGGCATCAAGACTCAGACATCTGCTTCAGGACTACATCAAAATTCTGTCAGTCCAGGAAAAGAATCACCCACTCTCATGGAAATGCAGCAACTACATTCACTTTTCTGGGGTCCACCCCAAGCCTGAAAGCCCCCTGGTCCCCCTAGCTGTGCCTCACTTTCCCCAGATCTGGGGGCAGGAGTGAGTGGCAGAGTCATCACCTCTTCTTGTTCTAGAGGTGGACCTTTGAAGGCCAGCCAGGGTCCTGGGCTCCTTGAGGTGCTTCAAGGCCGCCACAATCCAGGGAGGCTGGAGCGGGGAGGGACCTCGGGACCAGGGAGGCCTTCCCAGAGCTCTGGCCCCAGCCCTGAGGGCCGCCTGCCACCCCAGGTAGATGCCGAGCAGTATTACAGTGAGCTGGAGGAACAGCTGACGGACGAGTTCAACGCTGAGCTCAACCGTGTGCCACTCAAGCGCCTGGACCTGATCTTCGTCACCTTCCAGGACTCCAGGATGGCCAAGCGGTGAGCACCAGGCAGGCGCCCCACCCAGCCCCAAGCACGCCCCTGCTTCTCTGCACTCTCCTCCCTCACCCCCTCCAGTTTCGCCTTCTGCCTCCCCTGGGCCTTCCAAGCTCCTTACAGGAAGCTGCCATCTGGCTCTCCAGCAGAATGAGATGGCCATACCCACTCCCCCCAGCTGCTGGGGCCCACCTGGTCTTAAGGAGTGCCCAGGCTGGGACTTCTCACTTCCCGTCCTTGCTTCAGCACAGAGGTGGCCAGAGAAGCCTTTGATTTCATGGTTTCTCTTTGCCTTGACAAAAATGACATCCTTTTTTTTTTTTTTTGAGTCAGTCTCATTCTATTGCCCAGGCTGGAGTGCAGGCATGATCTCGGCTCACTGCAACCCCTGCCTCCCAGGTTCAAGCGATTCTCCTGCCTCAGCCACCCTAGTAGCTGGGATTATAGGCACCCACCACCACACCCAGCTAATTTTTGTATTTTTAGTAGAGACAGGGTTTCACCATGTTGGCCAGGCTGGTCTCGAACTCCTGACCTCAGGTGATCTGCCCGCCTTAGCCTCCCAAAGTGCTGGAATTACAGGTGTGAGCCACCGCGCCCAGCTGACATCCGTTTTCTCCCTCAGGGCGCACATGCCACTCACTCCTCACCATAAGAGAGAGTCAGGGCCGGGCGCAGTGGCTCAAGCCTGTAATCCCAGCACTTTGGGAGGCCGAGGCGGGTGGATCACGAGGTCAGGAGATCGAGACCATCCTGGTCAACATGGTGAAACCCCGTCTCTACTAAAAATACAAAAAAAACATTAGCTGGGCATCGTGGCGCGTGCCTGTAATCCCAGCTACTGAGGAGGTTGAGGCAGGAGAATTGCCTGAACCCAGGAGGCGGAGGTTGCGGTGAGCCGAGATCGCGCCATTGTACTCCAGCCTGGGTAACAAGAGTGAAACTCCGTCTCAAAAAAAAAAAAGAGAGAGTCAGGATAAAGAAGCCCTGCCTGCTCTTCTCCTGGTGCAGGCCTCCCTCACTCATAGCCCCCTCTCTTCTCTGCCCCAGCCTCTGGCAGCCCTGCCTTGACAAGGAGTGAATTCAGTCCACTCTGGAATGTTCCAGAAGGATCCTTAGCACAGGGCCAAAGTCCAGAATTCATCTCTTAAGAACTGTGGGGGGCCCTCTTCTCTCTGGGAGAGGCTGATCCTGTATAGCACTTTGTCCTCACCCACCCCAACCCTACAAAGGAAGAGCAGAACTACCTAGATTTTACACACAAACAATGGTGCACAATTTTGCAAGTTCCTTATATTCTCAACTTTTTATCTGGCAAATTTGGTTATTGGTATCTGCCCTGTTCACCTCCCAGTGGCTTAACAAATGATATGTCTTCCATTTAGTTTCTGTGTTGTTTAAAGCAATACACCTACCTAAGGTAATATTGTTCGTTCTTTGAGACATCGTCATTTGGTCGAGAGGATCAGAGGCTTACTTACAGCAGAATATGAGCTAGCAAGCCAGAGATGGGGCTCCATCTTTGTTCACATCTCTGGGCACCTCGATTTAATCATCTGTGCAATTGAGATGATACTGGTCATCAATTAACACAGTATCAGGCACACAGAAAGAACTCAATAATTAGTAGCTATTGATATTAAGATGGGGCTAAAATTAGTACCTCCCTTACCAAATCTCAGAGAAAGAGTGTGTCTATATGCTGTCACTGCTGTTAAAGGGAAAGGCAGAAACTGACAAGCACATGGCAGTCTAGGCACCCTCCAATGCCCTTTCCTCCAGATACTGGGCCTTAGGAACTGTCCACCTCTAAGGTGCTGAAGAATATCCAAGACTTCAAGAATCCCCAGGAAAGGGTTGAGCCCCCATCTGTAGGACCGCCATAGTGGCCCCAAGCCCCTGGCATGAGGCCCTCTTAAGCCCAACCTCCCACCCCCAGACCCACATCTTCTCCTCCTCCTCTCCCCTCTCTGCAGCGTCCGCGAGGATTACAAGTACATCCAGTGTGGTGTACAACCCCAGCAGTCCTCAGTGACCACCATCGTCAAATCCTATTACTGGAGGGTTACTCTGGCCCCACACCCCAAAGACATTATTTGGTAAGCCTCCTCCATCCCTCCCCTCGCCTCTGAGCTCCTCTGAGACTGAAGAAGGCAGCAGGACAGGGCCTTCTCTCTCCATGTCCCCAACATGTCCCTCCAAGGGAACTAAGTTCCATGCTGTCCTGAGCACCACAGCCTCTGTGTACCCCCAGATTCATTCCCACAAGTGTAGGAGGCATCCAACCCTTAGCAAAAAGGTTTTTCCTGCAGAAGGAACTCAGGTCCATTTTTTTTGGCTGTATGCTCCAGATCCTTTACAGTGTGATGGGGGCAGCCCGAGGCCCATTGCATGTGGGTCTGAGCCCAAGAGGCTGAATTAGACCAGGGTAGCCTGGGTCCACGGCTGGCATGCAGCAAACAGCACGTGGGCTCTAAGAACTGATGTCTCTTAAGTGTGCCTCCTTCTCCCATCCCTCCTTAGGAAACACCTGTCTGTCCGCCGCTTCTTTTGGTGGGCCCGATTTATCGCAATCAACACCTTCCTCTTCTTCCTCTTCTTCTTCCTCACCACACCTGCCATCATCATAAACACGATCGATATGTACAACGTTACCCGCCCCATCGAGAACCTGCAGGTGCCTCCTCTGCTCAGGCCAGGCCTGGGGGCCCCAGGGAGATCAAGGAAGAATTCAGGCGAGGATGGGATGGGGGGACCCCGGGATGGGGCTGTGGAGCCCATACAGTGTGAACTTTGTGGAGGTGGCCATGGTGCAAATGGTGGGGTAAAGTTTGCTTTGTTCTAAAAAGATGAAGGTGGGTGACTTCCAGTCTTAGGGACCAGGGCTAGAGTGGGAAGGAAGAGTGGGGAATCCATAGGCAGGTCCTGGGGTGAGTTGGGGGAGGTGTTGTCCTGGCAACATGGGCTCAGAGGTCTTCGTGGATGGGGTCATCCCAGGCCAGCTGGGGATCCAGAGGGCATGGCAAGTGTGAGTGGCTCTGCTCTCTGCAAGTTGTCCAGGGCAGCAGGCTTCTGATTTGTGTGGTAGGGTTGAGGGTGAGGAAGAGTGAGGTAAGTCACAACACAGCCCTCTCAGAGAAGTGTGAACTCCAGATCTGCCTCTACCTCCCTCACTCCAGACACTCGCACTCCAGGCTGGGAGCCTCAGCTCTGGAGGAGCCATCCCTGAAGTCAGGGGACTCCTCCTGCTTATGGTGCAGGTCAGAGGGAGCACCAGCCCATTTCCAAACGCTTTCTCCTCAAGGCTGTTACGATGAGCCTAGGAGGCCCCTTCTTCCATATCCTCTCCATCCCCATTTCCAATAGCCCACGTGGGCACATGCATGTGCATACACACACACAAAGTCAACACATGCATATGCACACACGGACACAAAGTCAACAAGCGTGCATGCGCACACACACGTGCACACACACACACAAGTCAAGCCACACCACTTCTGCTGCTTTTTGTTTCCCTTCGTCAATTTGGTAATAGGCCCCAGACCCCCCCACCAGGCGTCCTGGGTGTGCCACAGCTCTCCCTGGGGACTCCTCCATCCTCGCCTCCTCCTCTGCTCACATGTCATCACAGCAAAGGCAGTGTCACCTCCCAGCTGGCTCTGGCCTTAGGAGGGAGTCACTCAGGAAAGCTCAAGCTGCCCTTCCAGTGACCTCAGCATAGAAGGCCTAGCCCCTCAGGGACTCCATTTGACCTTGGGTGTCAGCCTCTGCCTGGCCAGGAAGGCCATGAGAAGGGCCAGGCCCCTTGTAGCCTCCAGGAGAGCAAGCTAGCCCTGGAAGTGAGCGGGAGAAGAGGAGGCAAGAGGAAGGGGCTGCTTGCGTTGATGTCTCTCCTGCCATCCTCCCCTCTCCCCCTGCAGAGCCCAATCGTGACCCAGTTCTTCCCCTCCGTGTTGCTCTGGGCCTTCACAGTGATACTGCCTCTGATTGTCTACTTCTCCGCCTTCCTCGAGGCCCACTGGACCAGGTGACCTCGGGGCATCCTCTCCTAGCCCTACAGTTTCTCCAGCCTCTTCTCCTGCCCTGGCTTCCCTGCCAGCCTGGCACTTGGGCCTCCCCTCTAGCCTAAGGAGGAGAACTGATAAGGGATGGTTTTGCTACCTGAAACCATCCCCAAAGACCAACAGGTGTTCTCTCTTTGGAATGAGGGTCTGGGTGGTCTCTGGGCCCCTGGGATGCTGAGACAGAGCCACCGTCTGAGTGTGGGGCCAAAACCAAGCCCTCCTGGGGCTTCTCCCTCAGCCCCCAACCATATCCTGAAGGCATGGAGCTATAGGCATGAGCTAGGCAGTCCCAGGCATTCCGGGCAGAAGGCACAGGAGAAAAGACTCGTGTGGGACAGGCAATAGACTGCTGTGGCCACACAGAGTGGCCCATGAGCTCACTGTGACTATCATCACATATGGCCCACACCATGCCAACCTTCGACCCAATCAGGAGCTTTCCCATTTGCTAGCCTTGACTGTTCTATGGTGGCAGCTCACCGGGTAGAAAGTATTTGCCATGTCCTAGGCAGGTGGCACTACTTTGGGTTGAGGGCTGCATGTATCTCAAAAGTTGTTTCCTGCACCAAAAGTTCCTACCATTCCACCAAGCAGCAAGCCAGAAGGTTTGTCCTAACAGAAAGCCTTCCTGGCCTTTCCTCTGGCCAAGAACAAGACTTATATTGATCACTGAAACTCTGCAGAGATTTTGCGTATTCTTGGTAATGTCTCTTTAACACAGATGTCAACTATGTGGCACATCTGTGCCTTCCCGTCCCTTCCCGTGCCCAGCACAGATATCACTAGTCGATCATGCTGTTCTTTCCTGCTGCTCCCAGGTGCAGCACAGCTCACAGTGGTGTATGGAGATGGTGTCGGTATGCACGATCAAACCCATTTCCCAGCCCAGACCTCTACTCTACATACATCTGTATTAGTCCGTTTTCACACTGCTGATAAAGACGTCCCTGAGACTGGGTCATTTAGATAGGAAAAAAGGTTTATTGGACTTACAGTTCCACATGGCAGGAGAAGCCTCACAATCATGGTGGCAGGCAAGGAGGAGCAAGTCACATGTTACGTGGAAGGCAGCAGGCAGAGAGCTTGTGCAGGGAAACTCCCCCTTATAATACCAGCAGATCTCACGAGACTTATTCGCTATTATGAGCATGGGAAAGACCCACCCCCATAATTCAATCGTCTCCCACTGAGTCCCTCCCACAACACATAGGGATTATGAGGGCTACAAGGTGAGATTTGTGTGGGGACACAGAATCAAACCATGTCAGTATCTCTCTTCCTCTCTATTTTTCTTTTTTTGAGATGGAGTCTTGCTCTGTTGCCCAGGCTGGAGTGATGTGGTGCAATCCTGGCTCACTGCAACCTCTGCCTCCTAGGTTCAAGCAATTCTCCTGCCTCAGTCTCCCAAGTAGCTGGGATTACAGGCACGTACCATCACACTCAGCTAATTTTTGTATTAGTAGAGACGAGGTTTCACCATGTTGGTAAGGCTGGTCTCGATCTCCTGACCTTAAGATCCATCTGCCTCAGCCTCCCAAAGTGCTGAACTCTTCCTCTCTATTACATAGTTAGGCCCTTGGTTCTTCTTAGGCCATCCCCACTGATGAATATCTCTCTTCATTTCCTTCTAGATCAAATCAGAACCTGGTCATGGTACACAAGTGCTACATCTTTCTGGTTTTCATGGTGGTCATTCTGCCCTCCATGGGACTGACCAGGTACCGCACTTCCAATTATCCCTCCTGTCTTAGCCAGGCTCTCCTTAGGGTTAAGACCTCCTCCTTCAGATACTGAGGCCTGCCTGTGGTTGCTGCAAACCTACTCTTCAAATGACAGCCTTGTGCCTGTCATGGGTGTAGCATAAGCCAGGCTTCATACAAGCACTAACGTGTCAGCCATGAGCTTGGCCAACATAGAGCTTATCATCTGGCTGGGGACACAAGGCGTGCTTACCAGCTGACCGACAGCCCCACATGGGAACAACACAGCCAAAAAGCCATAGAAATTCAGAGAGGGAGAGAGTACTGTGAGAGACACGAGTGAGTACTGTGAGAGACATGAGTGAGTACCCTGAGAGAAATGAGTGCGTACTACGAGAGACATGAGTGGGTACTGCGAGAGACATGAGTGAGTACCCTGAGAGAAATGAATACTGTGAGAGACATTAGTGAGTACTGTCAGAGAAATGAGTGAGTACCGCAAGAGACACGAGTACGTACCTCGAGAGACACGAGTGCGTACCGCGAGAGGCACGAGTGCGTACCGCGAGAGGCACGAGTGGGTACCTCGAGAGGCACGAGTGGGTACCGCGAGAGGCACGAGTGCGTACCGCGAGAGGCACGAGTGGGTACTGAGAGAGACATGAGTGAGCACTGTGAGAGAAATGAATACTATGAGAGACATTAGTGAGTACTGTCAGAGAAATGAGTGAGTACTGCAAGAGACACGAGTGAGTACTGCGAGAGACACGGGTGCATACTGTCAGAGATACGAGTGGGTACTGCGAGAGAAATGAGTACTGCGAGAGACATGAGTGAGTACTGTGAAAGAAATAAGTACTGTGAAAGACATGAGTGAGTACTGTGTGAGACATGAGTGAGTACTGTGAGAGAAATAAGTGGGTATTGTGAGAGAAATGAGTGGGTACTGTGAGAGACATGAGTTAGTACTGTGAGAGAAATGAGTACTGTGAGAGACATGAGTGAGTACTGTGAGAGAAATGAGTGGGTACTGCGAGAGATATGAGTCAGTACTGCAAGAGTAATAAGTGGGTACTGCGAGAGACGTGAGTCAGTACTGCAAGAGAAATGAGTGAGTACTGCGAGAGACATGAGTTAGTACTGTGAGAGAAATGAGTACTGTGAGAGACATGAGTGAGTACTGCGAGAGAAATGAGTGGGTAAGTGGGTATTGTGAGAGAAATGAGTGGGTACTGTGAGAGATATGAGTCAGTACTGCAAGAGAAATGAGTGGGTACTGCGAGAGACATCATGAGTCAGAACTGCAAGAGAAATGAGTGGGTACTGCGAGAGACATGAGTTAGTACTGTGAGAGAAATGAGTACTGCGAGAGACATGAGTGAGTACTGCAAGAAACATGAGTGAGTACTGCGAGAGACATGAGTGAGTACTGTGAGAGAAATGAGTGGATACTGCGAGAGATATGAGTCAGTACTGCGAGAGAAATGAGTGAGTACTGCGAGAGACATGAGTTAGTACTGCGAGAGAAATGAGTGGGTACTGCGAGAGACATCATGAGTCAGTACTGCAAGAGAAATGAGTGGGTACTGCGAGAGACATCATGAGTCAGTACTGCAAGAGAAATGAGTGGGTACTGCAAGAGACATGAGTGAGTATTGTGAGAGAAATGAGTACTGTGAAAGACATGAGTGAGTACTGTCAGAGAAATGTGTAAGTACTGTGTGAGACATGAGTGAGTACCATGAGAGAAATGTCTGCTCACAGTTTTGCAAACTGGCCCAGGTTTGCTGGAGGAGGTAGCCTCTTGAGCTCAAAGGCCAAAGGGTTCGGGACCAGGACAGCCCAGCACTAAGAAGGCAGAGTGCAAGTGTGGACTGGCCAGCTGGAATAAAGCAAGGGTCTCTGGAGATTGGGCAAGGGAGGATGGTTGAACCCTCAGCCTTAGCTCAGGTTTGCTAACTAACAGACCTGCCTCGTTTTTGCTTCTAGTTTGGATGTCTTTCTCCGCTGGCTCTTTGACATCTACTATCTAGAGCAGGCCTCCATCAGGTTCCAGTGAGTACTCCCATGTGTCCACCAGGGCTGCTGTGGACATATACTCACTGGAGTGGGTATATGTGCTCTGCCCTGAGTCCAGCACCCAAATTTGCTCACAGAAGTGTGGACAAATGCTTGTGAACCTCCTCACTGGGCAGACTCATTACCTTTCCTGTGCTGAGATCTCTTTGGCAATATGGTTAAGCCCAGGGACCCCTTCTCAGAATGATGTTTTTGAAATAATTGCATATTCACAGGAAGTTGTCCCAAAACAGTATGGGCGTAGGTGTTTCATGAGCCCTTTATGCAGTGTCCCCCAGTGGAAGCATTATGCATAATTATAGTGAAACAGCAAAACCAGGATATTGACACTGGTCCAATCTGCAGAGCTTATTCAGATTCTGCCAGTTTTACATGTACTCTGAATGATGTCTTTATGTGCACAAAATACATGGATTACAAAGAAAACCAATTATACTGAATTATAGTTATCAAGATATTTTAAAAATCAAATTTTTGACATAGTTTGTGTAAACACATCAATAACAAGATATTGCTTTTTTTGTTGTTGTTGTTGAGACCAAGTCTCATTTGTCACCCAGCTGGAGTGCAGTGGTGCAATCTTGGCTTACTGCAACCTCCATCTCCAGGGTTCAAGCAATTCTCCCACCACAGCCTCCCGAGTAGCTAGGATTACAGGCGAATGCCACAATGCCAGGCTAATTTTTATATGTTTAGTAGAGATAGGGTTTCACCATATTAGCAACGCTGGTCTCGAGCTCCTGGCCACAAGTGATCTGCCTGCCTTGGCCTCCTAAAATGCTGGGATTACAGGCATGAATCACCACGCCCAGCTGATATTGCATTTTTTATATAGGTGAGCTAAAGTTACATTTTACTGTCTTAAAAACATTAGTATAAAAGCTGATATGACTTATTGGATAAGAACTTTAAACTAGGGGGGTCTTCAACAAAGTAACATGCAGACCATGTGGGACATTCTGCCAATTTCAAATTTTTTTGTTTTTATGGTAACAAGTGTTGAGAATCCCAATTTTCAAAGACATGCAAATGACATGCAAACTTCCATAACTTGCTCTATAAGGCAAAGATCAGAATTCTCCAAGATATTTTTTAGTAGAGATGGGGTTTCACCATGTTGGCCAGGCTGGTCTCGAACTCCTGACCTCAGGTGATCCACCCACCTCGGCCTCCCAAAGTGCTAGGATTACAGTTGTGAGCCACCATGCCCCGCCATATTGCCCACATTCTTCATGCAAGAAAATGCTAAATTTCAGTTGGAGATTCATAAAAATAAAGATTATTTTTTTCCCATCCTAGTTTACAGACCCCCAGAAACCCACTCATGGATTCTCCAGAGTCTTTGGGCCTGGGTCAGACACCTTGCTTTGGATCAAGCCAATGCATGTATCCCCTAACACACCCGGGCTTTATGTGGTCTCCACCCCTCCCTGCTCAGTGGCCCGCTTGTTAATTTAATTGGGTCGGGGACATACGTATTATAGGAGAGAGAAAGAGAAGAAATGTTACTCTCCTTGTCTGTTTCTGTATCTCCACCCCCACTCCCATTTCCTCTGCTGCCCTCCTCTCTCTCCCCGCTTTTAATGTCTCTCCTTTTCCCCATGACTTCTGTCTCCGCCCGCCCTTCCCCCAACTGCCCAGGTGTGTGTTCCTGCCGGACAATGGCGCCTTCTTTGTCAACTACGTGATTACGGCAGCTTTACTTGGCACAGGCATGGACCTGCTGCGTCTGGGGTCACTCTTCTGGTACAGCACCCGCCTCTTCTTCTCTAGATCAGAGCCAGAGAGGGTCAACATCAGAAAGGTACAGGCTGGCCCTTCACAGAGCACAACCCTCAGTTTCCGTTGGGAGGGTGACAGGGATGGGGCCTGCTAGAAGCACCAAGGGGCTTGAGGTGGGAGGGATGGTGAGGATGGGTGGCGGTGGGGCACCTTGGTCTCCCGGGCTGGAAGGGAGGCTGCCTCCAGGCCTGAGCTGCCAGGAGGCTGATGAGGAACCACAGAAGTAGCCAAGACAAGGGAACTGGGCCACCTTAGGGTGACACCTGCCTTCTGCCCCAGAACCAGGCCATCGACTTCCAGTTTGGGCGTGAGTACGCATGGATGATGAACGTGTTCAGCGTGGTGATGGCGTACAGCATCACCTGCCCTATCATCGTGCCTTTTGGTGAGTCATCTCTGAGGCATGCCCAAGGGCTGCATACCCACAGATGGGGAGGAGAAATTGAGCCCCACAATATCAGCCACCTCCTGGAGCATGAAGAAACCTGTGATGGGGAGGTGTCAGGGCTAGGGCCAAGCTGGGGTGCAGGGGAGCTGAGGTTGGATGGCTGCTGACAGGAAATGTTTGCTGAATGAATGCATGAGTGAACGACTCTTCACCATGCTGGAAGTATCAGTTCTGGGGGCTCAAGGGAAGCTGCTGGCCCCAGAGGTCAGCACCATGGTGCTCCCCCAACCTATCCTTGGCTGCTGTGACTCTGACAGTATCTGGCTTCTCAGGCCTATGGAGACACTGGAGCCGCAAAGGTCCTGACTTGAAGGGGCCACTGAGTAAGTCTCCGCCTTTGGCCCCCAGGGCTGCTCTACCTGTGCATGAAGCACCTGACGGATCGCTATAACATGTACTACTCCTTCGCACCCACCAAGCTGAACGAGCAGATCCACATGGCCGCCGTCTCCCAGGCCGTGTTCGCGCCACTCTTGGGTCTGTTCTGGATGCTGTTCTTCTCCATCCTGCGGCTGGGTAGGTATCGAGCCTGCCTGGAGACCCCACCTCCGCCTGCCCCACTGCTCTGTGAGTCCCTCAACACTGACCCTGTTAGAGGAGGAAAGCCCAGGCGGGGCAAGATGCTGCTCACCAGACCTGGCCACATCCAGTGACTTCTCTGGGCCTAAAGGGCCTGTGTTCGAGTCTCAGCAGAGCTTCGAGGCTCAGAGGAGGGCCTGGACCAACATGGTCCATGGGTGTGACTCTGGGTTTCCAACGCTCAGGGCGGGAAACCTCACACTCCTTCATTCTAACTCCAGACGCTCAGGAAATAGAATATCAGCCTGGTTATTTGCTTTGTTTTATTTTTTAATTTTATTTTTTGAAACAGGGTCTTGCTCTGTTGCCTCGGCTGAAGTGCAGTTGTGCAGTCACAGCTCACTACAACCTTGACCTCCCGGGCTCAAACAATTCTGCCACCTCAGCCTCCCTGGTAGCTGGGACGACGGGCATGAGCCATCATGACTGGCTAATTGTTTTTAATTTTGTAGAGATGTGGTCTCACTATGTTGGCCAGGCTGGTCTCGAATTCCTGGGCTCAAGCGATCCTCCCGCCTAGGCCTCCCAAAGCGCCGGAATTATTAAGTATGAGCCCCATGCTCAGTGGTAGATGCCTGGTTTGGGGGGTTGCCAAAAACCTGGAAGAGGAACCGGAGGCTGCAGTAGTGGCCAGGCTTTGCCTCGCTCTTTAGCTTCAGAGAGCTGCTGTCCCTGCCCAGGGGAGCTCAGAGACACCCTCCTGGAAGCAGTCCCTGCAGGCCACAGATTAGAAATCCCTCAGCTTTCTCCCCTTGCAGGCACCTGTGCCACCCAGCCCCACTGCCTTTCCCTCGGGACACTTGATCTTAACCTTCTCAGTGGTGGGAGAAGGGAGAGGTGGCATTTTCTTTTCTCTCCCTGTCATTCCCCCTGGGCATCAGTCTTGCCATGCTGAGGTCTGGAAAGACAGAAGCTGAGTTGAGTTCCAAGGTGGTGAAAAGAGGTGGTGTTTTCTTTTCTCTCCCTGCCATGGTGGCACCCACGGGGTTGACTCTCAGTCATATATGTGGCTTACCCATTTGCTGTCACCCCCGATGGCTTATCCTGCTAGCCTTTGCCTGCCACCTCTCAGACTTCATTTTTTTCCATAACGCTTTTTTCTAAGAATAAAGGACTGCATGGCTTGTAATGAAGGCTGGCTTTGGGGGAAAAAAAAGATTAAAAAAGATTAAAGGACTGCATATTTATTATGAAAAATAGAAAAAAATAGAAAAACTAACATGTAAATGACCCATCATCTCACCCAGAGCCTGGTGTCTCTCGTTCCCAGCCCCTCTTCCAGGCATGCGCTTTAGGTGGGCGTGTCGAGAGGGAGCTGTTGGTCTGTTGCTACTTTACAAAACTGCGATCATCCATATTGTAACATTCAGTCCTGTACCCTGAGGTTTTGTACTGAACGCAATGTTCTGAGCAATTTCCCAGGTTGTTAAAAGACTGAACATGTAGGTGCCTTTCAGTTGTTGCCAGTTTTAGTCCGTTCTCCATGATTGGATATTGAGATTTACCATTTTTTGCTACTATAAAAACACTGCAGTAAGCATCATTAAGCAGTGATCTTTGACTGTGAAGCATGATTTTTAAAATATTTACCTAGTTGGAAAACTGCTGCCATAAAAAAAGGGCCAAATAGGCCGGGCGCGGTGGCTCACGCCTGTAATCCCAGCACTTTGGGAGGCCGAGGCGGGTGGATCACGAGATCAGGAGATAGAGACCATCCTGGCTAACACAATGAAACCCCGTCTCTACTAAAAATACAAAAAATTAGCTGGGCATGGTAGCATGCACCTATAGTCCCAGCTACTTAGGAGGCTGAGGCAGGAGAATCGCTTGAACCTGGGAGGCGGAGGTTGCAGTGAGCCAAGATCACGCCAGTGCACTCCAGCCTGGGTGATAGAGCGAGACTCCCATCTCAAAAAAAAAAAAAAAAAAAAAAAAACGTGGGGGTTACCAAATATTCCCAAATGCAATGTAGGTGACTTTTACCTTCTAGATGTCCTCTCTGTGCTGTCAACAGAGATGACTGAGCATGCTCACTTCAAAAGGGCTTGCAGGGAAAGGTGTAGGTCAGAGATGGTGTTGGGGGCGCTGGTGGAAATGGTCACTCGTAGATACTTCCCAGGGACTGTGGTGTTGGAGGTGACTGGCAGGTCAGGAAGGATATGTTGAACAGGCACTGAAGTGGGTACTGAAGTCAATTAAAATATTTTATCATGGACTCCACAAGATGCCAAATTCTAAACTGGTCAAATAGACAAAGGGATGATGTTATTGTGTCAGACTTCTTGATGCCATTGTTATCAGAGGAGGACTGGGCAAGGTCAAAGGCCTCACGGTGGTGCGTCATGGTCCCCGGGCATCTGCCTGTTGGGTGGCATCTCAGCTGGCAGACTCCTGCCCATGGCCCTTTCTTCTCTTTGGCAGGCTCTCTCCATGCCATCACCATCTTTTCCGTGTCCACCCTCCTTGTTTCCATGTTAATTGCCTTTGTTGGCATTTTTCTGGGGAGGCTTCGGATGGTCACCGACTATGAGGTGAGTTGCCAGCCTGCCCTTCCTCCACTGGTTCTCCTGGTCCCGGGGGTACAGAGCTGTAGCATACCCTCCAGGCCTGGGCTCCCATAGCACCAGAGGACGAAAGGGTCTTACCTTTCTCTCTGACCGTAGAGCATGGAGCCCAGTGTGCGTGCATGCGTGCCTTGCACCAGCTTAGACCCTGTCCCCTCTCCAGAAGACAACTGTCCTCTCCTTTTCTGCCCTCTGACACCTCCTCCAAAGTGTAGGCTGCTGGCCCATCCTTCCTGCGATGTGAGTCCAGTGCAGCCACTGAGCTGTGAGCCTCCAAGGACTGGAGAGGTGATGGAACAAAGGAGGTTGTCAGGGGAGTTGATGATGATCTGGAAAAGGGGGATTATCATTTTCTCTCCTTTAAGACCCCAGGCTGTTGAACTTGAGGCAGCCATGTTTGGAGGTGGCCCCTGCCCCACATGACTCCTTTGGCTGTTGGCAGAGAGCCCAGCCTACTCATTAGGAGAGGGGAGCCAATCCATGCCCGTTTAGAGCCATGCCAACAACTGTGTGTTCCAACTCAGTGTATTCCAGAATGGATGTCTATCCTGGGGCACTGGAGTGATTTCCAGTGGATCATAACATAATTTTTCATGGTTATGTATTTAACATTAACTTTCTGCTTATGACAACTGACACACAGTTTTCTGTCTATAATAGTGAATCGTTTCCTCTTTTTTTGACGAAATCTCACTCTGTCTCCCAGGCTGGAGTGCAGTGGCATGATCTCAGCTCACTGCAACCTCTGCCTCCTGGGTTCAAGCAATTCTCGCCTCAGCCTCCAAGTAGCTGGGATTACAGGTGCCCACCACCACGCCCGGCTAATTTTTGTATTTTTAGTAGAGACAGAGTTTCACCATCTTGGCCAGGCTGCTCTTGAATTCCTGACCTCATGATCCACCCACCTCGGCCTCCCAAAGTGCTGGGATTACAGGCGTGAGCCACCATGCCCAGCCGAATCGTTTCCTTTTTAAATGAATATATATAAAGGAAAAGAAGCTGATTTTAAGGACTGACACCTGACTGAGCCAGAGGAGGGACTTGGAGGAGGATCTCCTTGCTTCTGATGTCTCTGTGTCCAGGGCTCTGGGCATGAGCGCCTGCAGCCCTCTCTGCCCAGCTTTCCTCTCCCATGCCTGGCTGGAGCGCCACTTAGTGAAGGGCCAGCGCGAATGATCCGCTGGCTCTGTCTTTCTAATACAGCAGCGTCATGTGCTTGGGTTGCCCAAGTGTCCACTCTAGAGAAGGAGGATGGGGGGGAACCTAGGCTGCACTGGTACAGGATTCTTTCCAAACTAGAAGGGAAGCCACAGGAGGAAAGACAACAGTGCTGAAGTCAAGGCTTCTCCTGGAGTCTAAGCAGCCTTGTCTTTGAACCTCAGTCCCACCTCTGCTTACTTCCCCCCACGATGGTCCTTGGGAATTGAACATTCCAGAAGGGACTCCCTCGCATCCCAGCCCTCTCTCTGTCCCCCTGGGCTTCAGTCTTGCCAGGCTGAAGTTCTGGAAAGACAGAAGATAGTTGAGTTCCAAGGTGGTAAGAAGCCCAGGTGTGGAGTTGAGGATCCTCTGGATGTGGGGGGAGGGGCAAAGAGCAGACCCCCATCCAGTAACCCACCACCTCTCCCTGCTGCAGCCCGAGGAGGAGGAGATCCAGACGGTGTTTGACATGGAGCCAAGCAGCACCTCCTCCACGCCCACTTCCCTCGTGAGTCCTGAGTCTCGGGGACAGGTCAGGAGGGTGGTGCTTGCAGGGGTGGTCTGCTTCAGTGGCATTGTGGGGGATGCCAGCATTTGGTGCCCGCTCTGGGTATAGGGGAGGAGATGGGGGACCCCTGGGCTCCCTCCTCTGACGCAGCAGGACTTGGCCCAGGTCAAAATGCTGCCGTGGCCCTGGCTGAAGAGTGGGGAAAAGAGAAGAGCCACCATGTACTCAACATTGTCTGGAAGCCACCCAGAGAGCAAGTACTTGGTCAGGGAGGCCCAGACCTCAGCAACCTCGGTCATGTAGACACAGGGGGGCCTGCTGAGGCTTGGTCTCAGGACCCAAGGCTGCCCCTGAGGGCACAGGTGCAGGCAAAGCGACGCAGACAGAGCTTCTGGGAACTATTAGAAATCTGCACTGATGGTAAGGCAGGGACGCTGAATGAGCGAGCCGGTCTGCCTGCGGAGAGGCTGGCTGGGAGTGCAGGGCCCGCAGGCTGGGTGCTGGCTTTCACATGGCGGCTCGGCCTGGAAGGGCATGGGCATGAACACCCACCTGCATCCCTACCACAAATGCAGCTGCAGGGCCACCAATGCACACACTGAGCTGGGTACTGGGGTCAGCCTGTGCTCCAAGGCCAGAGCACCTCGGAAGAGCTCTGAAGAAGGGTGCCAGCCAGCCTGGCACTCAGTGAAAGCATCCCAGAGGAGGGAGCGTCGAATCCGACCCCAGGAAAGGGCATATGGGATGCCAAGTGAAGTAGGGTGTGGAGCAAGAGCTTTCAAGGACGAGGGGCAGCCTGTGGAAAGCCCTGGAAGACAGTTTTTGGCATGGTGGAAACAGAGTGGACAGCAGGGCCCTGGGGAGCCGAGGCTTTCTCTAGTCGTGGGCAGAGCTGAGTGTGAGCGCACAGTGACAGAGCACGGACAACACACCAGCAGGGGGCCAGAAGTCACCGGAGGCCAGGTTTCCTCCCTCTGAAAAACCCTACATACAGGCACAGATTACCTCTGAGGGGAGACAGGAGAAAGTACTTCGGTAATGAAGAGATGACCAGGATTTCAGAGTGAGAAAGTCTCTTTTCCTGGGACCCTTCCAAAAGGACCCCTCTTGGAATATTGTTAGCAATATGGGTTCGAAATCTTCTTATGAGCCTGGCGCTTTGCTGTCTTCTCTCTTAATCTCTTGGTAAACCCGCACAGTAGGGGTTTTCATCCCCAAATGGAGGCTCAGAAGATCAGTCAGTGTAGACTCCAGGGCACCAAGCAAGGAAGTGTCAGGATACAGTTTGAACCAGGTCCATCAGATTCTAAACCCTATGCTTTTAAAACACATGACTAGGATTTATTTTTTAAATCTTGCCTTATTACAACAGGGCCCTGTGAACATTGTGCATCATTACGGGGAGGGGAAAGGATAAGCAGAAATAAGGAAATAAAAAGTCCATATTCCCACACCCAGAGATGACCACTCATAGTGTACATTCTTCCAGATATGTATACGTTATGTGTCTCTTTTAGATAATTATATGTGAATTACATAGTTTTGCTAAAATGAAATAGTACTGCACATACTGTTTTATGAGACCAACGCACTGCCCACGGCACTAAGAGGGCAACAAAACATACTGTTTTATAACCTTTTTTTTTTTTTTCTGAGACAGAGTCTTGCTCTGTTGCCCAGGCTGGAGTACAGTGGCACCATCTCAGCTCACTGCAACCTCCGTCTCCTGGGTTCAAGCGATTATCCTGCTCAGCCTCCTGAGTAGCTGGGATTACAGGCACCTGCCACGATATCTGGCTAATTTTTGTATTTTTAGTAGAGACAGGTTTTCACCATTTTGGCCGGGCTGGTCTTGAACTCCTGACCTGAGCTGATCCAGCCACCTCAGCCTCCCAAGGTGTTGGGATTACAGGCATGAGCCACTGCGCCTGGCCTATAACCTGCATTTTTAGTGAACAGTGTCTTTCCACATATATAAATTTCTGATCTCTTCGAATATCCAGTGCATATTCAAATTGCCCTAATTGTTCCAGAAGGATCTTTTAGAGCTTGTCCAAACCAATGTTAAATCTAGCACCTGTGCATCAGAGGTTCATGTCCCTTTTATTTTAGCGCAGTCCCTTTTAAATGACCTGGAGAGACCAAGCCAGTAGTCCTGCAGAATGTTCCGCCTGGATTTTTCTGGCCATTCATGATGTCTTATGACGGGTTCCATGATCTCCTTGTATTCTCTGAATACTGGAAGTCAGATCTGATGGCTCGATAGATTCAAGTTCAACATGGGGCTAGAGCACATTACAGGTAGTGCTGCAGTTTACGCCCAGAGAGATGTAACATCCCGTTAATTCCCAGTCATTAATGATGCCAACATGACCCTCTCACTAGGGGAATGGCAGATGGATTTTTCCATTGTTCAGTTGACGTCTTCCCCTTTATGACCAAAAGACCATCTCAATGGTTTACTTGGGTGCCATGTGAATGTCTAGGTTCTTTTGTAGGAAAACTGTTCCTTCCACCAGGGCCATTTTGGTTTCACTGAAATAAACTCCCATGGGAAAGGTTTCATTCCATTCCCTAATTACCCATTTTCAAAGTAAGGAGATGGTTTAAGAGCCACTTCAGAGGGTGACAATGGCTCTTTTTCCTAGTACTTCTGTGTTTCTCTAATCTGCTGCCCTTCCAGGCATGGAGACCATTCCTGGGTGGGATAGGTTACATGACCAAAGTCTCCGCTAGCAGTTCCACACCCTGAGGACAGGCCAACAGTGACAGATCCCAGGGCATTCTGAATGCGCCTCTGAGCTGTATTAGAAAGTGCACTAGTTCAGGAAAGGGGGTCTCTCCAGACTCTAGTGGAGGGGAGCCTCATGTCCCCTCCCCTGGGTGCAGCTTGACTTGGATGCAAGAGTGAATGAACATGTTCTAAAGGAGCAGTGGACTAGGAGTGGGGAGTCCCACCACTAAACCCGCCCTGGGAGTGCCTAGATGCTCATTAAATGATCAAGAACAAGTAGTAGGGTGAGACAGACAGGACCCAGGCTGTGGGGGAAGAAGGTAGGCTCCAAGGTTTGGAGGAGACAGAGGCGATGGGTCGGCGTGAGGGGAGAGGGTGTGCCTAGGGCCTTGCTCCAGATGTGACCTCCCTCCTGTCTCCTGTCTCTGTCCCAAGCAGCTCTATGTGGCCACTGTGCTGCAAGAACCCGAGCTGAACCTGACCCCAGCCTCCTCCCCAGCCAGGCACACCTATGGCACCATCAATAACCAGCCGGAAGAGGGAGAAGAAGAGAGTGGTCTGAGGGGCTTTGCGGGGGAGCTAGACTCAGCCCAGTTCCAGGAAGGGCTGGAACTGGAGGGCCAGAACCAGTACCACTGACTGGGACCTGAGGCCTCCGCTGGCGACGTGTTGAGGGGCCAGGGGAGGGCCTGGCGGGGGGAGGCAGGAGGGTGGCCTGGACGTCCCCACTACCTCCTACAGACTTTGAGAAGCCCCCAGTGGAGACATCTGTCACCCCAGCCATGGGCCGCATGGGGGGGGCCCAACCTGCTGCCCAGATGGAACTGGGGGGGCTCAGCAGTGCTGAGGGAGCCTGGGAAGGGATGGAGGATACAGGCAAGCCCATGTCTTGAGAGAGGTGGCTGGAGCCCCAGCAGAAACCAAATGCTGGGGTCCCATTTTGGGGCCAAGATGGAGACGACGTGCCTAAGGGAGGAGGCAGAAAGAGGCCCCGAAGGCCCTCTGGGGTCATCACCACTCTGCATCAGCTGCCCTTCCAAGGAGCTCCTGCTGCTGCTGCTCCCCCCAGTCCTGGCCCATTCCTCCCCTGCAGTCTGAGGAGACAAAGGTACATGCATGGGGCATATTAATAGGCCACGGAAGACCACCTCCTCACGGGGCTCCCTGCACAGACAGCTGTAAAGAGAAAGTTTCTGCACCCTCCCGAGCAAGAGGCAATGGAAAACATAGACCTGAGAAGAGGTAACTCCGCCCTTTCCTGCTCCTCTGCCCTCCTCGACGTCCCCAGGAGCAGCAGGGCAGAGGCGCTTCTCCTTTCTGTTCGTGCAAGGGTAGCTAGAGCGGGATCACCCGGAGCTCATCAAAGGAGACCTGTGTGCACTTTTCAGAAGGAAACCTTGGCTAGTCCTTGCTGGGTAGCACAGGGTGGGGTGAGACAGAGACTGAGTTCATGGAAGGGGGTCTTCTCCCCTAAACTCTGGGTGGTGGGAAACCAGCTATACCTCCCCAAGCCCCAGGGCCTAAAGAGAAGACCCTCAAAGCCAAAGATGTGGCCACTAAGAGTCTCCTGCCTCCTACTCAACCGAGTGCCTGGGCCCCCAGCTTGGCTGAGATGGGCAGTACTTTAGGGTTAGAAGTCCATGCTTCAAACTGAGGGGCTGACCATCACTTGCGTCCCAAGTAGGACCTTTCCTCCTTTCTCTGGGCTGCCCCTGCACCCTGCCCTGAAGACCACCCAAGCAGCCTCCAGTGTGGCACTGGTTCAGACACTGCAGATGCTTCAATCGTGCTGTCACCCCAGGACTACTGGGAGTCGGGTGGAGGGAGGGCCACGTGCTCCAGGAGACACCCTTTCTGGAGAAGCAAGGCTGTCCTCCCAGGGCTGCCAGCACCTGAGACCTGGGGGAGCTGAATTCCGAACAGTGCTGGTGACACTCAGAACTTTGCCATTGCCGGGGAGAACCGGCCTCTGCCTCTGGGATGGGCTGTCATCAGGACCACCACGCAGCCCAGTCAGGGAGGACATGAGAAGGGCCAGTGAGGGCCTCAGTGAACCAGAACAAGCCAAGCTGAATGGGGTCTGTGTGCTCCAGGTCCCTCTTCAGCCTCCTCCTCCAAAGGTCTGGGTCCCTGCCACCAACCTGCTGAAGGTTGGCCCCAGGCTCACCTCACCTGAGCGCCTCCACCAGGCCCAGGCACATGGCTGCCCTGAACTCAGACCACCTAGGCCCTGTTCCTACCCCACCTTTGCCCCACCCTAGCCCCAGAAGCTCGAAGCTTCACCACAGGTGAGAAACCATGCTCAGTGGGCAGAAACTGCCATACCCCCAGGACACGGCCCACATTTCGGCGTGGGGGAATCTCTCCTAGAGCCTGGGTCTGCTGGGGAGAGGCTGTCTTGTCCATTCCTTGTCCAGCTAGGAATAAGGGGGAAATGCTACCTAGCCTGGCCCCTACACACCCAGGCCCCACAAGACCCCTTCCCCCTGGAATTTCACCAACAAACAAGGAGAAAGGATGCTCCCAGCAGAGCGGTCAGGCCCAGCAGGAGCTTGACACGTGGTGGGGAGGTGGCAGTCCTGCCAGAAGCTGGTCTGGGGCCTCTGCTTCACTAAGCACAGCTTCCTGGCACCTGCCCCCAGTCCCTGCAGCCCCTGCCAGACTGTGGAAGCCACATATGGAAAAGGTCCTAGCAGACACGATGGCAGGATGGCCGGGGCTTCTCCGTCTGAACATGGGTCCCGTGCACCCTGGCTCTGAGAGAAGGTGGTGAGAATTTGGGGAGGGTTCCAGAGTCTACTCTTAGGGGAACCAGCAAAGCCCCGCAGCAGCTGGCTCCATCTGGACTTCCCACAGTCGCTGCAGGGTGATGGGGGGGACATCTTTTAGCCTCCCCCCGACCATGTGCAGGCCCTCTCAGGCACCTCCTGCCTATCCCACACCCGCCTCACCCATTGCCCCCCCACCTACGGCCATCCCATTCCTCCACCAGCCACTTCCCAGCTGCCCCACCCCATTCCATCCACCAAATCATGCCCCAGACTTAATCTTCTAGAAGGAGCTGCCGCCCAGGAACCGGTACTGCCTAGAGCCTCCAGGAGGGGCCCCAGTGGCCCCGCGCCCGCCTGCCTGACCCTCCGCTGCCCCTGGAAGCAAAGTGCCTGTCAGCAGCGTTGCGTCCTCTGGGGCCCCCGGTGGGGAGTGTGGGCTAACCTTGGCCACCATCACTAAAGGAATGTGCCAGAATGCTGAACCTTCTTGTTAATGCTATGACCGTGCCTTGAATAAACGAGTCCTCCCAATCTCTACCGGCCCCTGTCTCTGCCTCTGCCTCTGGGCCAGCCTGGCCTTGCTCCACTGTGCAGGAAGAGAGAACTTTCTGGTCCTTGAGCTACCGGCAAGCCAGCAGGGCAGCCCCGAGGGGCCACAGAAGTCCCTGGTGAGTGCTGAGCCCCATGAACAGGCCTCTGGGCTAGGCTGGTGGCCAGGCTTCAAAACACACAGATTTCAGGTGAGGCCCCAGAATGAGTGGCAGACAGGGCCCAGATCTGCAAGGGGATGCGGTGGGGGACTTGGGGGATGGGGAAGGCAGAGGATAGATTGGCACTGGGAAGCGTGTGGGGTGGCCAGGTGGGATAACAAACACCTTTAGCAGCAGGCCGTAGTGGCTCACACCTGTAATCCCAGCACTTCGGGAAGCTGAGGCGGGCAGATCACCTGAGGTGGGGAGCTCAAGACCATCCTGACCAACATGAAGAAACCCCATCTCTACTAAAAATACGAAAAATTAGCTCGTGTGGTGGTGCATGCCTGTAACTCCAGCTACTCAGGAGGCTGAGGCAGGAGAATAGCTTGAACCAGGAGGTGGAGGTTGTGGTGAGCCAAGATTATGTCACTGCACTCCAGCCTGGGCAACAAGAGCAAGACTCCATGCCCACTTAATGCAGCTTCCCCTACCCCACATCCATGGCTGGCTTTCTAGCCCACCAGCCTGTGGGTTCCCAAACCGCTGACCAATGACCTGCTTCAGACCATGGATTCGTGTAGGTGTGGGTTTAACCCAAAAATGTATAATGGCATAAACGCAAGAGAGGTTTGTCTCTTCCTTGTAAAATTCAAAATGGGTGATTCTGTTTAATGCTCACCTTCCTCCGAGCAGTGATTCAGCATCGGGACTCCTTTCACTGGTGGCTCTGCCATGTTCAACACGTGGCCCTCATGGTCTCTGTGAGGTCTGCATCAAGCCAGCAGAAGGATGACAGAGCATGGAGAGGCATGCAGGAGTTTTAGGGGACCAGGCCTGGGAGTGGCACACACACCTGCATGGTCCAGCAGCCACAGCCCAGCCACACGCCCCACCTAAGTGCAAGGGTGGCTGCTGGACATCCAGCTGTGAGCCCAGGAGGAAGAGGAATGGAGTTTGTGGCCTGCCAGCCAGTTTGGGCCACAGACCCCTAGCTCCCTCTCTGCCACTGGCTTCCCATCGCCTCCTCCCAGGCCTCCCCCTCCTATTCCACCCACTCTGGCCTTGGCCTCCCTGACCCCATCCTCCCATCCTGCTCTGAGATCTGCTCCCCTGCAGCTTCATCCGGCGCAGGCCGAGACCCAAGAAAAGACCAGGCCGAGGGTCAGAGAGGCACACAGAACCAGTTTATTTCTCATGAGTTTATAGACCACAGCACAGAGCAAACGGTTAAAGTGCGGACAGCTGGGGTGAGGGCGGGGGCCTCTGCGGCTGCCTTCTCTTCCCTCCAGCTGCCTGAGTACAGGCACACAGCGAGCAGTGAATCTGAGGCGCTGTGGTCTCCCCGTTGCTGCAGGCTGGGGCAGAAAGGAGGGCCGAGGGAGGTAAGACTCACTCCTGCAGGGCTGGGTTGGTGATGAAGGGCTGGGGGAACTCGGGTCTTTCTGGGATGAAGACGCCCCTCCTTCCTGGCCGGTCCCCAGCCCCACCCCACCTGGCCCGCTAGCTGGGTCCCCACAGCTGCAGAATAGTCCGGGAGCTCCCTCAGAAGTGCTGAATGAGGGGAAGGGAATGCCGCAGAGGGACACTGACTGTCAGAGCATCTGCACAGCCCTCGGGACTCAGGTGAGCCCCATTGAGACCCAGGCCCCCTTCCCTTCCCTGGTGGTACTGATTCAGCTCCCACTGCCTGGGATTCCACCAAAAAGGCTTAAGCTGCTCTTTCTCTTTATTTGTGAAAGCAAGATGCCCTGGGGCAGGAGAGCAGTGGAGGAGCTGGGCAGGCGGGATGGAAGGTGCTGGAAGCTCAGCCATCTCACCCCCACCTTCGCCTGTGCTCCTGAAGAAGCAGGACAGACAGAAGAGCCCCATTCCCTCCCAGCCCCATACCTTCCCAGCTCCATCCCACGTCTGCCACCAAAACACTCCTCGTGGGGCCAGAGGGGTGCCAAAAAGGTAAAAAGAAAGGCAGGAAAGACACTATTGGGGATGACAGGACACCCAGAAGCCCCTTCCTGGAGGAAAGGCCACTCCTGCAGTTGGGCTCTGAGAGCTGAGACCCAGCCCTGCCCTAGAGTCACCTCTCCAGTGTGGCAAAGGAGACAAGGACCAAGACGCACGGAAGCTTGGGAAGCCTGGGCTACAACAGTACAGACCACAGACAGACAGATGGGGGCTGCCGGGCAGGGTCGCCTCTTACTCGCCGTCCCAGCCTCGACTCATGGCCTGCACCACGGCCCCGTAGAGCTGGCTCCAGGCGGCCCGAGTGGCTGGTGTGAAGGCAGGACCCAGACACTTCTCCAGCATGTAGAGCAGAGACTCGCCCACTGTCTGCAGAGGCAAGGGGCACCATGTCTCTTCCAAAGGCAGGAAGGCACTGCTCCATTCCACAGGCGGGAAAACCAAGGCCTAGCACTGATTAGGGCTCCTGGGCCTTTTTCTCTCCTGCACAGAGTCCATGCTTCCTGAGCAGGGTCCTGTCCAAATCCTTGGGTATCACCTTTCCCTCTAAATGTGAGGCTCCATATCCTTATTTATATATATCTATATCGTTTTTTTTTTTTTTTTTGGAAACACAGTCTTGTTCTGTCACCAGGTTGGAGTGCAATGGCACAATCTTGGTTCACTGCAACCTCTGCCTCCCGGGTTCAAGCAATTCTCCTGCCTCAGCCTCCTGAGTAGCTGGGACTACAGATGCACACCACCACACCTGGCTAATTTTTGTATTTTTAGTAGAGACAGGGTTTCACCATATTGGCCAAGATGGTCTCGATCTCTTGACCTCATGATCTGTCCGCCTGAGCCTCCCAAAGTGTTGGGATTACAGGCGTGAGCCAGCACGCCCGGCCGCCTATCCTCACGTTTTTCATCCCACTCTTAGTCTTGCAACCACCCCATGAGTGGGGCCAAAGCATTGCCTGGGACCTCCCAGTTTAGACCAAACCAAGTCATTGCCCCCAGACTTCAGTTCCTCATCTGCAAGGTAGCAATGATGGGGCTAAAAGCCTGGACTCTGGAGCCAGATACACCTGAGTTCAGATTCTGACTCCACCCTTCATCAACCGGGTGACCTTCAGTAAGTTATGTAACCTCTCCGAGCCTCAGCCGCTTCATCAGTGATACAGGGAAAGTAGAAGCTCCAACTCCTGGACCTGTTGGGGTGATTAAAATGGAATAATCCAGAAAAAGCTCTTAGCACAGCATCTGTATACAGGAAACCTACAATGATAATAGGCCAGGCTCGATGGCTCACACCTATAAACCCAGCACTTTAGGAGGCTGAGGTGGGCAGACCTCTTGAGCCCAGGAATTTGAGACCAGCCTGGGAAACATGGCAAAACCCCATCTCTACCAAAATTACAAAAATTAGCTGGGCATGGTGGTGCATGCCTGTGGTCCCAGCTACGAGGAAGGCTGAGGTGGAAGGACCACTTGAGCCTGGGAGGTTGAGGCTGCAGTGAGCTGTGATCATATCACTGCACTCCAGCCTGGGCGACGGAGCAAGACTGTTCCCAAAATAAATAACTAACTAAATAAAAGATAATGGCTCTCATTTGCTATCATTACTCATAATAAAATAAGGTTTATTTATCTCACAAATATTAACTGAATATCGACTGTGGATCAGGTACTGTACTAGTGCTGGGGATGGAGAGAAGGGCAAGACCAACACAGCCCCTTCCTCAAAGTGCTCACTGTCTGGCAAGATGACCGGATTATATTGTGGACTGTCATATCAGTGGCCCCCAATGGGCCACACCTCAAGGATTTATGCCCTTGAGTAGGGTCCTCCCACACTGACACTGGGCTTATCCATGTGAATGGCTTTGGACAATGGGACATTAGCAAGAGTGACACAAGCAGAGGCTCTACAGACGCTTGCACGCTGGAGCTTGTCCCCTAAAATCTCCCTCTCAGAACTCAGCTGCCATTCATTCCATAAAGAAGCTCAGCTAGACTAGTGAATGACAACAGGTCACAGGGAGAGAGCTCAAAGGCTGACAGGCCTTGGACATTCTAGCCTCAGTTGAGCTCCCAGCTAAACACAACACACAAGTAACTCCAGCTACGCCACGCAGAAGAACTGCCCAGCTGAGCCCAGCCATGAGAAACTGGAAAGCATTGTCATAGTTCTAGGTTGTTTGATACACAGCAATAGAAAATTGAGCAGACCAGCTAATCCCAAAGGCTCCTTAACTTTTATGGTTTAAAAGAAGCCGTATCAAAAAAGAAAACTTGGAAGCTCAGAGAGGTCAAGCCCATGTCGAGGCTACACAGCAGGTAACAGATGCATCTCTGGTTATCCAAGGCTATGGGAATGGGAGAGAGAATGGGTGGCTAGGGGAGATCTGGGAGAGAGAAGTGGCCCCAGGTCAGGAGCTCTGGAGAGAGGCAGAGCTCCTTTACCCACCGAGAAGGAGCTGAGCTTCACACCCACTGCCCGGTGCTTCCTGCCCAGGCTGGCAAGGTACTCCTCCAGTGAAGACAGGTCTTCCACATTGGTTACTGCAGCATCAATCACGAGCATCACCTGCCAAGGCCAAGCAGCAGTGAAACAGAGAGGCCAGAGCAGCCCCACCTGCTCACAATCACAGCCAAAGTCCTGAGGGTCCCAAAGCAAGAGAGGCCAGCAGGACCCTCAGTTCTCCAAGATCAGGGGTCAAAGGCAGCCTGTGTCTACTACATGCAGGGGGCACGCAATATGTGATGGCCAAACTCTAATGTCACACCCATGAAGGAAGCCTGTCTCCTCTGAGGAACTCACATCTCTAAACACGCCTACTGGAGAGTGTTGTCTGCCTGGGACAAGGAGAAACCGAGGCCCTTTGAGAATCATGAGACTCCAAAAAAGAAAAAAGAAGAAGAAAAATACGGCCAGGCACAGTGGTGCATGCCTGTAATTGCAGCGCTTTGGGAGCCTAAGGCAGGCGTATCACAAGGTCAGGAGTTCAAGACCAGCCTTGCCAACATGGTGAAACCCTGTCTCTACTAAAGATACAAAAAATAGCTAAGTGTGGTGGCACACCCATGTAATCCCAGCTACTTGGGAGGCTGAATCAATTGAACCCGGGAGACAGAGATTGTAGTGAGCTGAGATCACGCCATATGCACTCCAGCCTGGGTGATAGGGTGAGAATCCATCTCAAAAAAGACGGAAAGAAAGAAAATCATGAGACTCTAAGAAAATCCCAGCCTGGTTTTCATAGGCAGATGGCTCCCAATGGCCAGGATTTGTGCTAACATAACCTATGGGAGCCTGTCATTACAGAGGCTGGGACCAGCTCTCTGAGCACAGGGTAGGGGAATAGGCTGATTCTGATGTCCCAGACCAATCCAGCCCCGAGGGAAAGGAGCTGATACCCTGCTCCGGGGAACAGGAGGGGAGTAAGACTAGGCCTGGGGCAGAAAGTTATCTTCCCCATTCTCCACCAGGGAGGTGCTCTGCTGGATCCCAGAGGCCCCTGCAGCTCCACCCACCCTCACCTTCCTGATGTGGTCCAGGAACTCAGGTGAGGAGAGACAGTCTTCCGGGCTGGAGAACTGGCGGCAGTTGTACTGGAAGAGGGGTAGCAGGTCAGGCTCCAGCGCAAACAGCCTGTGGGTGTGAGGTCCAGGTGTCAGCCCTAGGTGTGAGCCCCTGCAAGCCCCAGCAAGCCCTGGGGCAGGGTGCCAAGCCGGGTCTCAGCTGCAAAGTACAGCAGACTCTCCCACCTGGCACTGCTCCCTGGCCAGCTTTGGCCCTGCCCTCCTTGTCACGCCTTCCACTGGCTCTGGGCAGCATCCTAGAAAGGGCAATGTGTCCTGGGGCCTCTTACAACACCTGGCACGCAGGAGCCCCTCAGTGAATAGCTGAGGGATGGGATTTGGGACAAGAAGAAGTCCCCAAACAGGAAACCTGGAGTTACACTGTGCAGAGAGGAAAGCCCTTCTCTCTCCTGCGCTGAGTAGAGGAAAGCCCTTC